CGATCTCTCAGCTCTGGAATGGTCTAGACTTAAATACTCGACCTAGTTCCATTGCTTAGCAACGGGAAGAAACTCCTGTAACTTCAGTGCCCAACCCGTATCACGACAAGACGTGAAATAATCACGTTGGTCCACTTTGGAAAACTTTTAGTTTAAACTCAAAACCATAAACAGGGCTATACTGCCCTCTTGTGTCAAATTTTATTTCCATATTTATTTTTCCAACAAATAAAGCCAAACCTGCAATAAAACCCCTTCCAATACAATGCAGTGGCTCAGTTGATAAAGCGTTGGGCTTTAAACAAGAAGACCTGAGTTCAATTCCCATACTTGCGTTAAATTGTTGTGATTATATCAAACAAAGTGGCCTAAACAATATTTCTTCAACCCGGTATCGTGACAAGACGTGAAATAATCACGTTGGTCCACTTTTGAAAACGTGTAGATGTCACGGTTTAAACCCCCTCAAACGTGAAACTTACACTTAAAACTTACCATCACAACCTATTGGTTTTCATTAAACCGAGAAAAATGGAATTTTCTTTTATTGAACTTCTGAACTGTATGAACGGCGTTCGGGGATCGACTTATCGAGACTATTTTTTAAGATGGCTCCTGTCTGTATACTCTGTATGAACTGTCTTCATAAAGTATCTTCTTATTAAACGGTCTGTACACTTACAAAGTTCTCAATGCTTCGTTTTGCATGTATGGAGCCTCATTATGTTACTGTGTTAGTGTGCGGCTATTTTGAGCCTTGTTAGTGGTATAAACTAGCGATTTCTTTTTACTTAGTCAATGCCCCCATTACTAGCATTATACGCTAAACAGTTTTTAGAGATAAAACTCTTTACATTCGATTATCATGAAAACAAATCTCAGAGAACGATTGACTAGGTACCGATGTTTTATTAGACCAAAGGTTCATTGTTCGCCGGAGTTCTCCTTTAACCTAATGTGATTATTTAGCATAAATGGTCGTAAATTTGTCCATTCTAAATGGGTGAATATGAGGTGCCTTGTGTATTGGGGAGCAAGGAAATCCAGGAAATGAAGACAAAATGACATGTTCAGCTGGGTACATAACCCTGTTGCCTAGTAACGGGTGCATATTGAGGTGGGCAGGCGGGCTTGGGTGATGACATCAGAGATAAAGAGCACTGGCGTGTGAGACATCAGACTCTTCTGAAACGTAATAAAGCTTCCACCACCCCTCTTCATACTCAGGGGTGTAACCCTATCTCTTCGAAATGCGAAAAAAACAAAAACAAAAAAAATGGCATATTTGTCCCTTAGTGTCACAGGAGTTGTTTCAGATAGTATTAGTTCTTCAGAGACAGCTTTTGTGCACAAGCTGTCACCCTGTTGTGTTTTGCCCGGTTGTTTTGGAAGTACAGAGAGCATCTTTTGAGCGAGCCATCACAATCTGCTCGCTCCTTGCTTGGATGTGGCTCAGCATGAAAGAGTGTGTGAAACAAACACCTCAGCTAAACTTCTGAAGTGCCAGTTGATCCCCGTCTGTTCGGAACTTCAGCGAAGAGTCCCAACATGATATTCTAAGTTTCACGTCAGCTCTCTGTACTTCTAGGTGAATCTGTATCTGTATGGCCGGCTTACTGATTCCAAAACTTTCCTTTTGCCAATGATGGGTAAAGTGATTATATTGTTTCCTTTATCTTTTTATTTTAGCAGGTATTTACATTAGATTCGGTATATTGTTGGTGATTCATTCCAACAATATACCGATTGGCAATATTCGCCTGGTTTTCATGTGTGTGTGTCAGTGATAATAGGACATTACAGGAACAGAGATTGCTTTGGCTTCACAGCAGCTCTAGAAAAAATGTATTGTCCAGCTAAAGATAGTTTTGATTTATTCACTTCTGTTGTAAAGATCATTAGTTATTAACTTAGGGGCCGCTTACACAACACTGTTTCAGCCGAAAACTAATATAATAAGAACTCTAATATAAAAAGATGATGTGCATCACTATTTGTGGGGTGATGTTGTGGAATGGTTTGAAACAGGTGTTAAAACATTACAAACAGTTTAAAAAGTTATATAAAAACACTTTATTAAAAGGATATGAAGAGGAACAGAAGTGGGGAAGTGGGAAAAATAAAAAACTAATAACAAGGTAAACCCTACATTGAGGACCAAATTTTCCCTCAAATATAGTAATACCAGGAAATTAAAAAAAAAAAAAAAAAGATTATAAATAGGGCTGTCAAACGATTAATCGCGATTAACCCAAAATAAAAGTTTGTGTTTACATAATATATGTGGGTGCACTGTGTATAATTATTTTATATATATAAATACGCACAAATGCTTGTATATATTTAAGAAATTTCCACGTATATACTGTATATAAATTTATATAATATATAACTATAAATATTTTATATATAAATAATATTTTTGTTCTTAAATATACATGCATGTGTGTGTATTTATATAAATATATTTATAATAATAATTATACACAGGGCACCCACATATATTATGTAAACACAAACTTTTATTTTGGATGCAATTAATCCCAATTAATCATTTGACAACCCTAATTATAAACAATGCAAAAAAGATTTTTACATGTATTTTGTATGAATGTTCTGTAAAGAGTAAGGTTAGAGTTAAGATATAGAATTTACCATTTGTACAGAACAAAATTATTATGCCTATGGAAAGTGAATGAGTGAGCAAGCCCTGCGATGGACTGGGAGAGGCTCCAGCCCCCAGTAACAATAGTAAAGGATAAAGCATCGGACAATCATTCTGACTTTGCACACGTGTTTTTCTATAACAAAACATGGCAGGTAGATTTGTAGTAGTGTGAGTTATGAAGGAAAAAGTTCAAAGACGGCCTTCCTTGTATCTCATCCAAATGGTGCTCACTGCAGAGCCAAATGACATCCAGCTCCGCCTCTCTGGACATGACGGGTGGAGATTGACCTAGTTCAGCTAATGGGTGGAGTTATGAACAACTATAGGGTTACGAGTTACGGTGGTTTGACCGTCTAGCTGACATCAAGCTCTCTGCAGTGAGCAGCATCTGAGCAGGATTTTCCGAGAGCTCTTACAGAGATGAAGTGTGTGTCCTGTGCTGTTCATCAGAGGGGGCTTTCACTGACCCTCATTCACTCAGATGAAGCATCTCATCTATGAGATGACACGCTGAAGAGCGAGTCTAATTCTAAAAACAGACATGTCAAATCAGCGGCAAACTACTCGAGTGGCGTGCGGGTTACCATTCATGCTATTTTCAGTCTGTTGTGATAGAACGGAGCTTGCGGAGCACGTTAACTGACTAAATAGGCTTCACGCTGCTTCTGCTTGACACCATATGAGAGTGTGCCATCCGTGAGCCCGTTTCCTAAGGTGCATGTTATCTTCTTCCTCTACAGATGAGTGCAGTTGGCAGCTCCTGTTGGGGTTCTCCGGAAGGGCAGATCCTGGTTCACGTGCTGCAGAAACTGGCGCTGTCTACTGGGTGAGTAACCCGACACCAGCTCCCTGTCAGCCCCTCATCCAGCAGCACATGGGCCCCTGATCGAGTCTTTTAGTGTGACCCTCATCTTTGATCCATTCATGCCGGGGCCGAGGCGTAGGCCCCTGAGCTCAGGCTTCACCCTCAGATTGATACAGGACTATTGTGACCCCCCTCCTCCTCCTCTCCCGCTGGAATGAGAAGGCATCCCTTTGAAGCTGGTCAGCCGAGCTTGGGAGGCAACGCTTCAGCAATATTGGGTTCTTGGCAAAGCAAAGACACATTTTTTTTATTTTTTTTTATAATAATACGTTACTGAATGACGACATCATCACAAATGCGTTCCACTCAAAAGAGAGCTCCTCTATGAATATAGTTGAAATTAACTTTAAAACAGTATTGTAGGAATTAAGGTTAGTTCAATCAAAAGTACTTTTAGCATAATGTTGGTCACTGCAAAGATCGTTTCCTTAAAAGTAAGCAAAAATCTGGGTCACAGTAAAAAGCCCAAAGTATACATTGGTTTTGATGTGAACAGTTTGTGCAAGACTTGGCCTTTACTTTTCTTTCCAAGGAACAGATGTTCTCCTAAGTTAAGTGTTAAAACAATACTACTAAGTATTAATAATCTAATTATTTATAGGCCTACTTTATATGTATATATATACTGTAAAAAAAAGTATATAATCAATAAGTTACAACACGTTTTTACATTGCTTTAACTCGTCAAAATAAGTTAAGCAATTTTCTACTTTTTTTAGAGGTAATACAAGATATTCAACTAATTTTAAAAAGTCTATTTAATGCATTTTATGTTGAAATGCCTCGAATATCCAAGTTGAATGTACTTAAAAATATAAGGCTGCAACATTTTTTACAGTGTGTATATATATATATATATATATATATATATATATATATTTATCGCAATTAACACAGTATCTGGGTTTTTTTTTCTGTCATTCTTTGACTAGCGTTACATCATATGATCATGCTCTTATTCATGAAAAATGCCTTTAAATTATTCAAGCGTGACAAGACAAATGAAAATGTTCTGTCTGTGAATGTCCTGTCTATGACACACACGACGCACAGAAAGACAGGCGCCAGTATCGTGTGCACAGACAGTTCTCTTTCACGCTTGAACAAACAATAACACACAAAATGATGCCAAAATGCCCTCTTTGTCGAGTATTCTCATTAGAACTGTCTTAGTTAAATAACGTCTTAAACGAACTTAAAGAGTTGTGAGAAAATGAGATGCGCATCAGATCCACGTCATGTGTGCGGATCTTAAAGTGACAGCAGCCTAATAAACCAGTTGCTGTGATGTCTGTTAACATTAATCACAGAACAAAGCTAACCTTAAAAATTTTAGCTTTGATAAGGATTAATCTAGATGTAATTTATGCTGTTAAGACTGTGAAGTGTTTGATAACTTTATTCAATTTCGGTATATTCCCTACCTGTCAGACAGGAAGGGCACAGGTAAATATGACGTTTATTATGGGTGAAGATTGTTATAAGTTCACCTTAAATCAAAAATTTTTTACTTTTTTTTAAAGTCTAATAAATTTTGAAATAGATAGCTTTCAGTTATACTGTGATATCGAATAATGTTTTCATGCCAGTGTTAGTATCAGTGATACTGACCACCCTCCCAATATGCTGTTTTTTTCTACATTAATTTGAAGAGTAACTGTGAAATGAATGCAATATTTTACGACTGTGTAAGACAGTTCTAGGAGGAAATTATAATGATCCACTTTGTCGACAGACTTTGCTCAGACATTTGAGAACAACCAGCTTGGGACTGGTTGGTCCAGTTATGCCTCTCTAATATAGAACAAATGCTTCATGATGCAGGCAATTTCAAACCAAATTGCTCGTCTCTCTCGAAAATATGTATATTACGTTTTTTGTTTCTGAACATTATATTGGTAAAAGGGCTTGTGAGTGGGTTTCATGTTTACTAGACTGTTAGAACAACATGCATGTGCAACACTAAGACTTGTGTTAGTTTTACTTAAGTTGTTCAAACACAAAGAATGATATTTTAGACTGTTGGTAACCAGACAGTTGACAGTAGCCATTGACTTCCATAGTATTTTGTTTTTCCTATTATGGAAGTCCATGGCTACTATCAACTGTATGGTTATCAACATTTCATTTTTTATTATCTAAGAAAGAAACTTATCCAGGCTTGGAACAACTTGAGAGAGAGTAAATGACTCTGTGAAACGAACTGTCCCTTTAAAGTATACCAAGGCAAACAATGAATACAACTCAGAAAAATACCTACTTGATTAATAAGTTCTGCTCAATGGTGTCATTTAAAATAATTGAATTAGCTCAGCTTACATCATCTCAGTTTTAATTTGGAGAATTGTGAAAGTTTTTAAATTAGTAATTCATTCAGGGTGAAATTCCCAGTGTGCGCATCAATAATATATGTGGACAGCGCTGTTATCTTATTTAAGCAGGTCTGCATTTGGCACTGCTCTCTAATTATCATATTCATGAAGTAAACAACCATTGTGAATAACTTTTGACTATAAGCTAATGCACTACATGCTTAATGCATGTACATACCATGAATAATCCAGTTCTATTCTGATATCTAATCTAATATATATTAGAGACTAAAAGTATATCAACTGCCAATCATAAGATGTAGTTCCTCAGCTCATAGCAAGTCTACTGATGCACAATAGAAGACTCAAAGATTGTCTCAGCAACAGGCTATTTCTACAATATCAAAAATACGACATGGATGAGTGTGTGCTTGAGGTTTATCTGCTGCTCATCAGGACAGTGTGCATACCTGACAGGCCAAAGTCATTTTCAGCACACCAGATTATTGCACTTGCTGTATGTGAATGGATTTCTCACACATTGACTGACCTTATTTGGAAAGCACGTGTATGGTAATGAAATCACTCGTTTCTCTTTTCCAGGTCTCAATCAGACATGACAGTGGGATCAGTAGCTGCAGAGATTCTGAAGTCCATCGGGTCCCAGGCAGAATTGAGGTCCTCTCCTGCTATTTAATGTGTGTATAGACTTGTAAATTATATTTTCGCAACAGACTACTGAACACTTTTTAAAAAGTATTCCAGAATTTTTTTCAAAAATAAAAAAGTTCACAAAATTAAATTTAGTCCATTTTATTGTTTAGCCAGGTCATAACCAAGTCTCCAACCAACAATTGCAGGCTACAATAATTAGGGGTTCTTTTCAAAACCTTTCTAAAGCTACCATCAAAAAAATAGATCAAGACAAGGAAAAAAAAAAGAAATGAAAAAAAGAAAAAAAAAAAAGAAAAACTGGCCCCAACTGATTACAAACCCTTTGGAACATACGTGATTTCATTAAAGCAAGAGAACTGATATTTGGACTTCTCCAATTCTTGGTTTTATACAAAAGCTACACAATGTTACATTTGATAAGAATACAATTGAACTGATTAATTAGTGTTCTACACCATAAACTCGATAAAATCTTGAATGGATCATTACCACTAGAACTCAACACTATGAGAGAGAAAGACAGTCAGTCGAAAGGAATACAAAGTTCTGCAAAATAAAAGACGAGTATCATAAAGCAAGCTAGATAAGTACCATTACAGACTGAAATATCCTTTGAAAAATAAAAAGTAATAAAAAGTACAGGCAAGGCTAAGGTCGAAAACTCCATCTTAGGATTTGCTTTTTGGGCTTTTCTTCTGTCAATCACACCAAATTCTGACCAACTAAGACCAGAACAAAAGTTTTACTTCCGTGTGTTCCCATAGGAAACTCAGCTTGTATTAGTGTGTCAGGCACTTTCAGAGAAACTAGCCCACTCTCTTGAGCCCGCTCAGCAACTCTACAGGCCAAAATCACAATGCAGGTTCATTCGGATCAGACGACACAGCTGCAGCAGAGAGAAAAGAGGGGACAAACAGATTAGAATCCCATTAAACGCACGCACACACACACACACACAGGACTGTAATCAATTCAGACGCAGCTCAGATTAGTTCTGCCACCGGCGTGCTTTACTCCAGCCACACACGGTGCGGTCAGCACAGATCAAACAACCGGCCCTTCGCCGATCGGGCGTCTTGGTGCCTCACCTAAAAAGTCATTGTATTTACAGATCGGTATCGAACCAGGCCAGCTGATTGCTGTCGCCCGGCGGGAGGCCGTCGATCAGGTCCTGGGCGTGGCCGAGGTCGGGAAGGCCGTCTACGGGGTAATCGGGGCCGGGGTGGTGCCCGCCCATCTCGTGCTCCATCATGGGATCCATGCCCATGGCGTCCTGCCCGTAACCTCCGGAATGGAAGGAGCGGTAGCTTGGGTCTGGAGGACGAGGGGAGTGGATGGGAAGTGGAGGGAGCACACGCACACACACACACACACACACACGTACGTTAGAGGAAGCATATTAAACAGGCAGCTTACAATAGCACAACCTCAGACCCACAAGACCAGACTCAACTCTTGGCATCCTCCATGAATACTGTACACTTTGGTGCCCCACTTCAGAGCTATTAGATGTTTTATTATCCATAATGAAAATGACTTGGGCATGATTTTGTCTTGCCCAGCCTCAATCCAATTCAATTGTATCCAATCAAATTGTCAAAAAGGCTAAATTTAAGTCTTTTTTTTTTCAGAAAATTTTGTGGGGTTATTATTTCCAAAACAAAAAAGTAAATTTATTCAGCCTTGGGTTGTTCCAAACTTATATGATTGACTTTTCCATGAACCACAAAAGTTAGTCTAAATGACTATTCGCTCATTACATAAAGTAATGAAAGTGAATAGTGACAGAGGCTGCCCGTTCCTAACATTATGCCTAACATTTCATATTGTGAGGAGTGACAGATTTGGAACATGAGGCTTCCTTATTTTTTCTTTTTTTTTTTTAAGAGTTTCAGGCCCTATTTAGTCCCCTCTTCATGGAAATTGCCAGGTGTGTTGGGCTTAGGTTTGGTGGGTGAAGGCTGATGAAGCAGTGGATTAGTGCGCATCACACTCAGATGCTGAGAGCTGATCTCATTTCTGAGAATGCTGAACCTACCGTCCTGTCTGTAGCCCAGAGGCTCTCCCTGTGCACCGATGTCCAGCCCAAGATCTCCAGTCTGCAAGAAAGAAGATCCATGAGAGAAACGCTCACTTCAGCCTCTAATTCTGCATACATCAGGACTGAATGAGTTCCACAAATGCTTTCAAAGTGCTCGAGGCTCATGAAAACAATAATGCTTTGTTAGAATCACCTGCCCAGTAAACTCTCAAATATAACACCCACATGTGTCATAACAGATTCTGTAATGTACTGGGAATTGATAGGCTTAATCTACAGCAGGGCTGTGTGCCAGCGCTGATTGCAGGGTTTAGCAGAGATGAGCCCCCTTACCTCGTTCCAGGTCATGGGCTCAGTTCTGAACAGAGAGCTGGTGAGCTCCACAGACAGTCGTTTCTTGTAGTCCTGGGGCTTATCCTCAGACATGCGGAACAGAACTGCAGCGGCGTACGTGGCTGTGGACGAGAGATAGCAACGTTAGTGTGACCGAGAAAAACATTCGAGCCAGCCCTGCTCACCTCAGCCACTGGCTCCAGTGGAAATCAGAGCTGGGAAAACAATTCTGCACACTGCCCTACAAAACAAAAAGGCAATAACTGCATTTTTGGTCAAAAATGGCATCCGTTGTTATGCGACAAAACATCTCATCTCAAATGTGTGTTATTTTGGAGAAAAATGGCAGACGTTTGTACAGTAACTGCAAAAAGCCCTAGTGAAACAAAGCATGAGTACAGCAACATCCATTACTGTATTCCTGTTATGTTTTACCTAAAAGAAAAAAACAGTGTTGCTGCACAGTGATTTTACGTTTCCACGGTAAACACACGCAGCTGATTTTGCGGCATTCTCACGGGACGGTTTAAACATTTGCGATTTCATCCTGCTAACTTAACACAAATTTTATTTGAGATGGCACAAAGCCGGGGAAAGAGGATGGACGAACTGGGCCCGGAGAATGTAAGTAACAGTGACAGATCAAAACTTTAAGAGGCTAGGCCATCACAATATAAACAACTGCCAGCCGATAGGGCGGGACACCCTCTCAGAGGTCCATTCAGGCCCTGTTTACACGAGAATGCTTGAAAAAGTAAAAATATTTTATCGGATGTGCCTTTCGTTTTCACGGCGACGGCGTTTTTTGGGGCTTTAAAAACGCAAAAAAAGTAAACACCACCCTCCAGAGTGGAAATCTTAAAAACGCTCCACCGCCTCGTTCCCATATAAAAACGCAAAAGTCTGCTTGACCGTGAAGGTTGTACGCAGGCGCGCAGAGTTGGTGTTGTCGTGTGGCAGTACTTCACATCGCCACCTAGCTGCCTGGAGTGCATACTACATTGAATTTCACACACTTTTGCGTCACCATATGCACATGGATTTCCCACCCAAAATGCTCATCTAAACGCGGAATAAAAAGTGATTACGCACTTTTGCGTTTTCTCTTCAGAATCGTTTCCGTGTAAACATAGCCTATGATAGCACGCCAGAAATATATTACTGTTGTACAGTAGAATTTAAATATGTCAAGTTTTTCTTTACAAAAAGTTTGTTTAATTTCATATGATTAAAAGAAATGAGTGTTTTGTCTTCATTTGAAAAAACAGAATTAGTGAAATTATTTTTTCATATTTTTCAAGTTAATGACTCATAATACATGATTTCAATTAATTAGACATTAAACTCTTTGATTACAAAATTTTTACACCACATATCCGCAACATTAGCAGTAACACAAAATAGTTTTTGAAGAATCTGTAGTTCCTGCCTTTTTCCTTGGTATGGTGCCACGTTTTTGTTAAGTAATACAAAGCAAGAATACAGTACTGCAAAATAGGGGTAAAACTAATTAAATAAGATGATTGATATGTACAAAGAATAAGTGAATATAAAGTTACAAAACAGCCACATGTCCAATAATCTACCTACAACTACTTGGGCTGGATGACAGGATAACTAAAGTCATTTTTCTCAGTTCTGCACTCCGTGTAGTTACTGCTTTTTTGCTTTGTAGAGCAGCATAGCATTTCGTATTCACACTAGCTCCTCTTTCTCTTCTCTGGAAGTTTAACTTGTTTCTGAAAACTTTAGACATCAGTTGGCAGTGACACTGCTGCCATTATGATTATATTTTGATGTCTTTCTGCATTCGGGCACACTCACCAACGCCCTCGTTTCTGGAGTGGAGGAGCTCTGTGAGGGGAGCGGTGGCTCCTTCTGCCTCGATGGCCTCGGCTGCCTCCTTATCCTGAGCCAGCTCACACAGCACGCCTGCAGCCACACGCTGGATGTTCTCGATAGGAGAATACAGCAACTGCACAGACGGGATGAAACCGGTTCAAGAAATGGAAATGCAACTTATTTGCAGAAAACATGGGTCACCCAAAATGCTCTTAATTCACTAAAATAGAACCATACATAGAGCTATAGTTTGATTACACAATAGAACAATAGAGGTGGAATGAATTTGCGAATGATCGCACAATAGGCAGAACGATAGATTGACACTGATAGACTAAACAAACGAGCAAACAAACGATCAATAGACACATAGAATGAACAAGCTGTGGATTGAATGACAGAATAAACGAGTGAATGAATAAAACAGTCAATAGAACGGATGACGAATGATGAAATCAAACATGACGAATGATGGAAAAGACAGATTGACCAACGATAGGTAGATCAGTAGAAAGTAAAAGCAATTGACAGAACAATGACAAGACCACAGACTCTCTGTGACTGACCTGAACAAAGAGTGGAATAGTGTTGAGTCCTCTGATGACAATTCTGTTGTGAATGTCTCTGGCTAGAATGTGCAGCGCTCCAGTGCAGCCCTCCACAATCTCCTCCATTCGCACACCCTCCTGAAACACAACACACATTCAGCATGTTCTTCTGCAAGAAAGAGTACGCTTATGTAAAAATGGATCACAACATAACTTGGCCTGAAAGGTTTCATTTCAGAACAATGAAATTCAGCTGCCTTAAAGTGCTGATCATGTGACCGTGACTCACCACAAACTGCTGCTGCGTTCCACCCATGGAGGTGCGTCTCTGAGTGTCCTGATGGGCCCTGACCAGAAGCTGCACCAGGCGAGGAATGGCACCCTGCTCTCTGAGCGGGGAGTGGTTGGCAGGGCACAGTGCCAGGTTACGGATCAGCCCGACGGTGGCCTGGGAGAGAATACAGGGAGTGTTCAAAGTGCTCTTTACTCCAGTTCAGGCACACTAAAAGTCAGGAGTG